TGACTTCTCTACATCTGAAGCGTATTCAGTTTTTATGGGCCAAGAGACCATGTTACCCTATGCAGCATCGATACGGATACGTGTAGTATCATTATCAGGCCAATACTGAAACGTAAATTCGGCATGTTTAAAATGCACCAATGCGGGGGTACCTTTTACTATTTCTTTAGTCACTAACAAATATGTGTGGTTGCTAGGACAGCAGATTACCTTGCTGCCCTCTTTCCCTGATCATACCGAAGCAGCTCCAAACCTCCAAGTCGCCAACTTCTAATGCTGAATTGCGGATGCCCTATTCAAACTCCAAACTCCAAAAGGATAGAATGTCAATAAGCGTACAATGTGAATACCGTTAAATTAATAATGAAGCAACACATCAGTACATCACCTTTGCAGGTTTGAAGCATTGATCTGGACCCCAAGCTCCATTTTCCATGTAGCAACAGCCAACAACAAACAAGTGTCAAACAATGGTCAAACTTGCAAACAAGTGCCAAGGCAGGGCAGCAACAAGACAACGATCAAACATTATGAAGTTCAATATTAGAGAATGCATAGCACAGGTGGCAGTTCAGTATTTAGATAGCAGATAGCTTAAGTTTCCGAGGCATTACTAGCATTTGAGTGATTGGAAATCATGTTGCCAAAAGAAGCTTAAGGTTTTCCTCTTGCTGCTTTTACATTACAGGCTAAACACAAGAGAGATTGTTCAGAGGAAAACCTTTTCCTACCTGACTATTAGTATGCTCTATGTGGAGCAAGCACAACTGAAACCAGAGATCACCTTTCCTTCCACTGCCAATTTACCAATGAATGCTGGAAATATGTCTGCTGCCACAACTCTTGGTTTCTGCATCACATTCAAGCCATCAAGCTTGCCTTATTTGGACACTCGCAGTGACTATATTTTCAAAGGAGTGCTACCAAGTCTTTATGGATGCAGAATGAAATTCAAAGAACTTGCCATGGTTATCCGTAGGGCAAAAGGAAAAAAAAAACTTCACGATTTCCGTGCCTAAATTGCCAGCTCCACTGAATCTTCTTTCTTTACTATCTTTATGTACTTATGTAACATGCTTCACAGAAATACATAAATATACGCAGTAGGAATTCCTACTGCTGGTCGTTAAAAAATCATAGCTATAGGGTTAATAGCATTGTCCAACAGAAAAATTGAAGATATACAATACTCCCTCTGTATCAAAATATAAGACGTTTTTTATACTTATCTTGTATCAAAAAACGTCTTATATTTTGATACAGAGGAGTAGGGAAGTTCGGTAGCTCAAATTACACATTTTCTATTGAATGAACCCCTGCCGGCTGCCTCTACCTTTACGCCGCCGACTTCCCTGGGCAAGGTGCTCAAGCGCAACTCATTCATGAGGCAAAGCAACCTGTCTATTGCGGAACGAGAGAAGATGTGCAGGAACGATGCTGCACCCACGCCCAAAGTGGGCAAGTCACACGAGGTCGCTCTTGCCGCTCAAAGATGGTTACACATAGTAGACAATGATTCTGCTGAGGTGGGTTGTAGTTGGTGCCGCATTGTCTCGTTGATGCAGATGAAGGCAAGGAGAGTAACTGTCATATTCTAAGTTCGGGATTAGGTTTGTCCAGTGGACTGTTAATGCTTAGGGAATATTTGGTTCATAGCCACACCTAGCCAAACTTTGCACATGCTGACTTTGCCATGCTTTATCTACTAACTATGACAGGTATAAAAGGTGTTGATGGGTAGTCCTAAACTATGAGGAGGTATACCATACAAACGTATGATGACAGCATCGACCTATGAGTAATTAGGGTTCCTGGGGCTCCCGCACATAGCCAGTTAGCCACGATAGGTAGGTATTCCGAAGAGATTATAATAAGTGGGGTATGCTGCAAAGGAAGTGTGGCATACCACAGTTGTAGCAGTAAAAGTAAACAGTACCCTTCCGAACTGCCATACCTCTGGCAAAATTCGACAAGGTGTGGCTATGAAAACATGCCCTAAGCATCAATAGTGAGTGCTAGACCGTTGGAACCTGGAAATTTGGGTTGGCAATGCAGATTGGGCTAGCATATGAGATTGCAAGCTCTAAAGAACGTACCAAGAACACATGGGTGAAGTTCTCATTTTTTGTAGCCCACGTATACATATACATGCAGCATACCTACTAAATACCAGGTTCCACATAAAAATTGTTATCAGGTGTCTTGCACACCCATGGTTATTCTAGCCCATGTCGCTCCACCACTGAGCCCAACTAGTCCACCCAGTTCAGTTGATGAGGCCAGTTGGTGGTGGCTGGGTGACTGAAAAACCAGTGATCAATAAGACTGTCTCAATAAAAACGATTTTAAGAGCAGGACCGGTTCTTCATAGAAGTCTTTCTTTGCAGCAGTAGCTTTGCATATCTTGAACATGCAAAATGCGAAGATCTTGAACGATATTTCTTGTACAGTTAGATAATTGAAGCATCTTTTCAGGAGAGATTACAACTGAAGGAGGAGTTTAGACCCCTCTTCTTAGTTGGACCAATCCTACCACCTAATTCTCACTCTGACCAGATCTCTTTTCGATCTGAAAACTGTAGGGAGGCCGGCGAGTCCCAGACAGTAAACTTGACCAGTTCTTGTGCACATAGTGAATTGTTGACTAGTTGGTAGTCCTATGTGGCAAGATTCAACTACCCTATCAACCTGTTAATAGTCAAAATCAGACCATTATAAGGGCCTGATTTAAGAAATAAGATAGTTTGAGGATCTAACTCAACTAAACTAAGGGGCTGTTCGGCATCGCTCCGCTCCGCAGCTCCCGGAGTGGAGTTGGCGGAGCTGTAGGTCAAAATGGTGGAGTTGCCATTTACCCGCTCCGCAGATTCCCAGAGCGGACCATTACCGAACAGGGCCTAAGTATAAATAGTTATCAAACTCGACTAAGTATAAATAGTTACGCTAG